GGCCACCCAGTCCTAAAGTCTACAGGTTCTATGGTAAGGCTACCGGTGACCTCCAAAAGCTACTTATGCCAACATTCACCTCCTACGACTGCTGCTGCAAGTGTCCCTGTCCCCTGTGGCATAGCACTTCTGAGCCACACCTCTGCAGGAGACCCTCAAACACTCGGTCTGGCTTAGTCTCTTATGGGGCCATTGCTCCATTCCCCTGGGTCCTGGTACACACAAAATTTTGTTTGTGCCCTCCAGGAGCCTCTATTTCCCCCAGCTCTGTGGGAGTTCTGTAGTCAAATCTTGCTGTCACATGTCACATAAATGTCACAACACATGTGCGGATGTGAGAGTTGGACCATAAAGAAGATTGATCACTGAAGGATTGATGCTTTTGAGCTATGGTCCTGGAGAAGACTCTTGAGAGTCTCTTGGATGGGAAGGAGATTAAACCAGCAAATCCTAAAGGAAATCAACCCTGAATATCACTGGGAGAACTGCTGCTGAAGCTGAAGCTCCAATACTTGGCTACTTGATGTGAAGAACTGACTTATGAAAATATCCTGATATTGGGCAAGACTGAAGGCTAAATGAGAAAGGGGTGGCAGAAGATGAGATGATTAGATAGCATCACTGACTCAGTGGATATGAAACTGAGCAAACTCTGGGAGATAGTAAGGGACAGGGAAGCATGAGCATGACTTAGTGACTGAATAATAATAACATCTTCTTTGGAGAAATGTCTGTTTAGGTCTTCTGCCTATTGTTTGATTGAATTGTTTTTCTTGTATTGAGCTGTATGAGTTGCTTGTATATTTTGGAGATAACATCCTCTGTCAGTTGTTTCATATGCAATTCTTTTTTTCCCATTCTGAGGGTTGTCTATTCGTATTGTTTATAGTTTCCTTTTCTATGAAAAAAGCTTTTAAGTTTAATTAATTCTCATTTTATTTTGTTTCAATTTCCACTGCTCTAAGAGGTGGGTCATAGAGGATCATTCTGTGATTCACACCAAGAGTGTTCTGCCTATATTTCTCTCTAAGAGTTTTATAGTTTCTGGTTTTATATTTGTCTTTAATCCATTTTGAGTTTATCTTTGTGTATGGTTTAGGATGTGTTCTAATTTCATTGTTTAAACATGTAGCTGTCCAGTTTCCCAGCACCACTTATTGAAGAGTCCATCTTTTCTTTATTGTATATTCTTGCTTCCTTTGTCAGAGAAACAATAAATGTTAAAGGGGATGTGGAGGAAAGGGAACACGCTTGCACTGTTGGTCAGAATGTACATTGGTACAGCCACTGCAGAGAATAGTATGGAGATTTCTTTAAAATATTAGGAAAAAAACTATCATATGACCCAGCAATTCCAATACTGGGTGTATACCCTGAGAAAACCATAATTGAAAAAGACACATGTACCCCGCTATTCATTGTAGAACAATAATCAGTGCATAGAGGAAACCTAGATGCCCACCCACAAATGAATGGAGAAATAAATTGTGATATATATGTACTATGTGATATTACTCAGCCATGAAAAGGAATGATTTTGAGTCAGTTCTAGTGAGGTGGATGAACCCAGAGCCTATTATACAAGTAAGAGAAAAAACAAATATCATACATTAACATATACATATGGAATCTAGAAAAATGGTATTGATGACTCTATTTGCAAGGCAGGAATAGAGACTCAGACATAGCCACTGGAAAAACCATAGCCTTGGCCAGATGGACCTACTTGAGAGCAAATTTCATCATAGTTACCATGTTATCTTAAAGGGGTGTGCAAAATGAGACATAGATTTGAATTAAGTTTGGGAAGTAAAATATTTGTATGTAAAATATAATAAATTAAAACAGAAAGTAAACAAATGTAGGGATTTTAAGGTTAAAATAACTCATATGTGTTGGTAGAGTTCAGAGAAGCTATTTGGGAACCCATTTGGACTTACTGAAATTCAACAACCAAGTAGTAAAAATTAGGATTATGTTCAACTGAGAGTAAAAGAGATACAATTTCTCCAATGATTTCAACAGTCAAAATATCTGGAAGTGTGCTGATATAGCATCTCTGCTCCACAAAGTCATCACAGATTCTGAATCTCTTCAGTTAGCTATCCCTAGAGCATAATCCGTATTCACAGAGTCCAAAACAAACAAAAAACAAAAAAGCAACTTCAGATAGTAGCATGAAGAAAGAAATGAATAAGGGGAGAAGGTCACTTACCATTTTTGTTGTTGTTAAAGAATAACCAAGACTGCCTTGATGTTCTTCTTGGCTTGACCAAATTTTTTAGAGATTTCTTCCTAACTGTATGTCCCTGATCTCTCTGTTGTTAGAATATTTAACTTGTAATTTAAAATTTTCCCTCTGACCCTCTTTTTTTACTGTGAGGTAGTTGTTTTCAACCTTGTCAAATTCACTTATTAGTTTTTGTCAATACTTCTGTAGATTCCTTAGGATTCTCTATAAATATACAATCATGTCAACAATGAATAAAAGCAGTTTTACTTCTTGCTTTCCAATTTTTACACCCTTAATTTCTTTTACTTGCCTGATTGTACAGCTTAGGATCTCCAGTAATTTGTAGAAAAGAAATAGAAGGAGCAGATAGCTTCACCATGTGCCCATTCATGAGGGGAACAATATTTAGACTTTCATCGTGAGGTATGATGTTGGCTGTAGGTTATTTTTGCTTTTGCCTCTTTTAAATTCTTATATGGACATCCATGTTCCTTATTGTGTAGATGTGTGTGTGTGTGTGTGTGTGTGTGTGTGACTGTGTGTGTTTGATAGGTAACAGATCAAATAGCATTATTTATGATGATTTAAATGAAAAATGAGCGTCCTTTCTCTGTATAGTCTCCCTTCTTCCACTGGCTTCCTGCAAAGGGCTTTAAGAATGTAAAAGATGATTGAGTCAAAAGTTTGGAGGAGTCTGAGTCCCCAGATTACCACACAGAAGAAGGTCATCTGCCCAGCCACCAGGAAAACCCACTGTGTTCCACAACTGGAATTTTGCAGCTTAATTGTTGCAGCAGCTGTTACTCTAACAAATACAAAAGTTAAATTCCAAAAGTAGTTGTTGTTTAGTCTCTCAGTCTGATTCTTTGTGACCCCATGGACTGTAACCTGCCAGGTTCCTGTGTCCATGGAGATTCTTCATGCAAGAATACTGGAGGGGGTAGCTAATTTTATTTAAAAGGCAGGGATATTGAATAATATCTCTCCAACTGAGAAAGAGTTTTGAGACTAGAAAACAAAGCAAGCAACACCATAAAGTATAATTGTGAAGATTATTATAGTAACTTATATACAGTTAGATGGTGATTCAGAGACATTTGTAGCTACACTCTGTTCCTGAAAGGGACAAAGGGGAATTCAAAGGAATCAAGGATAAATGTAGAATCTGACCAAAAAGGAAAAAGCCAATCCACATCAATGGGAGCCAGGAGTTTTTCCTTCCTTGGGAATTTCATGACTATTATTCTTAGTGGGCTATTAACAATACGCATCAGCAAAGGAATTCTTTCAGTTTAAATATCAGATAAAGTCAAGGGTTAAAGACTATAGGAAACTTATTTGACTTGCATGCATTTCTTGTGGTTAGGTTAGAGTTCAGTCATACAGAAAAGGGAAGAGTTAGGACTCAGTTTCAAAATGGTGTCATTGTGAGCCAGGCACACAAATGATTATTATTATTTGCTGACTCCAACAATGTGATGTTTTTCCACCTTTGGCCCCTGTTCACCCATTTCTTTCAATTCCCCATCTCACTTTGACAATCATAAATTCGTTCTCTGTATCTTGTGTTTCACTATTTTTGTTTTGTTTAGATTCCACATTCAATATTCATCTTTGTCTGACTTATTTCACTTACGTCACTGAGGTCCATATTATTGAAAATGATAATGATGTATTCCTTTTCATGGCTGAAAAATATTCTATTATTTATTAGAAATTATATCATTTTAATACATTACAATGAATAATGCCATAATGAACATGGAGAGCAGGCACATATCTTTTTAAGCTAGTGTTTTTATTTTCTTCAGACAAAAACTCAGAAGGGAAATCACTGCATTATGTTAGCTCTATTTTTCTTTCTTTGAGAAAACTACATCTTGTTTTACATGATAACTGCACCAGTTTACATTCCCACCAGCAGTGCACAATGGTTTCCTTTTCTCCATACCCTAACCACTCTGAAATACTTATAAATTTTCTGCCAGTCTCTAGTCAGTTTCACAACCCAAGAATGTCTTTCTGAAGCACCTCAAGCCCTCCCTTTCAAATGAAAACATCGAGAAAGGTATTTCTATTTCTCAGTTTCTGTGGGAATGCAGGAGCCTAACTTTGATTTATGCCAGTTAGGAAACACAGACCCTAATTACAGAGAAAAAACATTTGAAAACTCAGAGATAATTCACTGTGCTCAGTAAATCCCAACTATCAACTTGCCCCCACTGTTGTCCTGCCTTCCACTAATTTTCCACTACACACCACAGAGTTTATTTATTTATTTATTTATTTATTTGGGGGGGGGGTACCAAATTACTTTATTTGAAGGAATGGTACTAAAGAAAGAACTTAAGTAGATGTTTTGTTACAACTTACAGAAAAGGTGAAGGTAACCCAAATATGCATGCACTGCCTTGGTGACCAGAGGAGTGGCTGTGGGAAGCCAGCCTGAGGCTTAACGCTCACTGTGTCCCAGGGTGTGCTTGTCAAAGAGGTACTCTGCCATGCCAGATCCAGGGGCCCCCATCTTGCGCAGGTTGGTTACCTGGTCGCCCAATTCTTTGATGGCTTCCACCTGCTCATTCAGGTAATGAGTCTCAATGAAATCACACAAATGGGGATCATTTTTTTCAGTGGCCAGTTTGTGCAGTTCCAGTAGTGATTGATTCACACTTCTTTCCAAGCACAGCGTACATTCCATTGCATTCAGCCCATTCTCCCAGTCATCACGGTCTGGTTTCTTGATATCCTGAAGGAAGATTCAGCCGCCTCACTGGTTCTGCAGCTTCATTAGTCTCTCAGCATGTTCCCTCTCCTCATGAGATTGGTGAAGAAAGTACTTGGCAAAGATCTTCAAAGCCACATCATCGCGGTCAAAATAGTACGACATGGACAGGTACACATAGGAGGCGGAGAGCTCCAGGTGGATCTGGCGATTGATCGCGGCCTCCGAGTCCTGGTGGTAGTTCTGGCGCACCTGCGACGGGGATGCGGTCGTCATGGTGGGCAGATGAGAAGGGGCGGTGGCGGCGACGGCGACGACTGCGCTGCGCTGGAGCGGTGGCGGGGACCTTGGGCCGGTCAGAGGGTGTTGTCAAGTGGTGACGAGGGCTGGCTCTGAGTAGCCTGCCAGGGCTGGGCCGGGGGGGGGGGGGTGCGGGGGAGAGGGGGACGAGCAGCGGATTCTGTTCAAGCACTGTTGAAGCAGGAAACCGCAGCGACTCTCTGCGAAGACTGTCCACCACAGAGTTTAAACATCCCCCTGCCTGTTTTCAACACAGTTGAGGCCAAGCTCTCTCCACAATTGCAATAACCTTAAATAAAGTCTATCTTGCTTATTGAACTTTGTTTGATACAATTTGTTTTGGACAAGAAGTTTACCAGAAGCTGCCACGTGAAATTTGCACCTATCTGATTGACCAGAACTTTGTTCCAAGGCCACTGGGAAATGTAGTCTTTTTTCTGAGCAGTCATATGTTGAGTAAAAAGTTCTGCTTTTATAAAAGAAAAAGATAATCAACATTTGGAGGTAACTCTATGCAACAATTTGCTTACTAACTTTCATGTACCAAAATAAAGACACTAGAATTTTGCCATCGGGCAAGTCCTTGAATATACAATGCTATTTTCACACTGCCTTGTATTTTTTGTCTTCCTTCTCTTGTCTATTTACTCATTCTTCAAATGTGGTAAAAAAAAAAATAAATGTGTTAAAGTACTGTGACTAACGGTTGTCTCCATTCAGTGAGAATTTTGTCATGTCAATTAATAACTTAATCATTTTATAATAAAGCTTTGTGATGCAGATATTATGTGGCAGTCACTGTGATATAGTCTGAAATTATGAATAATAGAATCTCAGCAGCAATCAAAAAATTAAAGGCTTGCAAAGATGCAAAATAAACAACTTCAGATCAAAGTACATATGGGGAAAAAGAAGATGCAAATGATAATGTAATTAAATATACACAGGGATTAAAATTAAGATCTTGTAAAAGTTTTTCTCACTGAGTGAATAACTGAATGAGTTATTGAAGATGAAGATGGACAAACCAGGGAATTAGAAGAGCATCGGTAAGAGCTATAAGAATGAGTCTTCAAATGGCAACCCTTGTAAAACAGAGAATGGAAAATAAGTATACTGTCAAAAAAAAGAAAAAAAAAACACTACAATCAACCCTCCAGGACTATCAGATTAAGTGAACCAGAGAATCAAGAAAACACAAAATGCAAAAATTTATGAAAATAAGATACTTTTGGAAAGACTTGCCAAAAGTATGGTAACATAAAACTAATATTATATCCAGGGTTAGGCATATATTGATTAAAAAACTACATTGTTTCTTCTCTCAAAAGGATCACAATTTAGTTGTATATATTTGGAAAACATTCAAAGTAATCTTAAAAATGGTTTATAAGTATTCTTGTATTTGAAATGAAGAGGTAACATAGAAACTGCCTTTATCACACACTCAGTTCAGTTCTGTCGCCCAGTTATGTCCAACTCTTTGAAAACCCATGGATTGAAGCACACCAGGCTTCCCTATCCATTACCAACTCCCAGAGCCTGCTCAAACTCATGTCCATCAAGTCAGTGATGCCATCCAACCATCTCATCCTCTGTCATCCCCTTTTCCTCCTGCCTTCAATTTTTCCCAGCATCAGGGTCTTTTCTAGTGAGTCAGTTTTTCACATCAGGTGGCCAAAGTATTGGAGTTTCAGCTTCAGCATCAGTCCTTCCAATGAATATTCAGGGCTGATTTCATTTAGGATTGGGAATAAGCAGTTTATTAAGACATTAATATTATAGCAGTACAGTTCAGTTATAAATAACTAAAGAGATGTCAAAGGAACAAAATAAAGATTACTAAACATTAAAGAATAATAAATAATACTAAACATTAAAGACCAAGTTCAAATGGAAGAAATAATCAGTAAGAGCAATGATAAAATTAGCTTTCTTAAGACAAGCTCCAATAAAATCACCTTTCAACATGATAAACTTTTTTTTTTTAATGGGAAAATATCACACTATGTTTGGTTGGCAATGACTTCAGGCCAGAATAAACTTTACTAAATATTATAGTACTCAGTGAACATGGACTTGTCAAACTACTGTGAATGCCATGAGTGCTCTTTAAGGAAATAATCATAGTAAAAAAAAAAATTAAGCTAATTAGTCAAGGCCTAAAACAACTTGCAAAGTTAAAGTGTGTCAGCCTCTCTGAATCTCCACCTGGAGATTCTTTCTACCTAAAATGTCCGTAGAGATTTACAATTTAATTTTTATCCCACAACATACTTCTTGTCCTGCAATGCTGACTTACATATTTCTAAACAAATTACAGTCTAAACAGAGCACATTTGTCTTGGTATTACATTTTTTGGTAACTTTAAAAACTTCTCATTACTTATCATACCCATTTCTAATCACCAGCTGTGTCTCTCTCAACTCACTCAACCCTTAAATATATCATTTTGTTATTTCTTCATTTAAATTCTATCATTTATTTTATGCTTAAAATATACTTACAAAGCAAAGAATATAATTAAATTAATTGTATTTATGGGGCAACAATTTTTCCTTTCAAAATTATGTATTATAAGCCAAAGTGGAAAGAAAGGATCTAATAGAAGAATTTTCCAAAGATTTTGTGATTCACACAGTCAAAGGCTTTGACATAGTCAATAAAGTGGAGTAGATGCTTTTCTGGAACTCTCTTGGTTTTTCAATGATCCAATGGATGTGGTAATTTGATCTCTGGTTCCTCTGGCTTTTCTAAATCCAGCTTGAACATCTGGAAGTTCACAGTTCACATCCTGTTGAAGCCTGGCTTGGAGAATTTTGAGAATTAGTTCACTAGCAGGTGAGATGAGTGAAATTGTGTGGTAGTTTGAGCATTATTTGGCATTGCCTTTCTTTGGAATTGGAATGAAAACTGAACTTTTCTAGTCCTGTGGCCACTGCTGAGTTTTCCAAATTTGCTGGCATATTTAGAACTGGACATGGAATGACAGACTGGTTTCAAATTGGGAAAAGAGTATGTCAAGGCTGTATATTGTCACCCTGCTTATTTAAGTTATATGCAAAGTACATCATGAGAAATGCTGGACTGGATGAAGCACAAGCTGGAATCAAGATTGCTGGGAGAAATATCAATAACATGACACCACCCTTATGACAAAAAAGTGAAGTTGCTAATCATGTCCGACTCTGCAACCCCAAGGACTGTACCTACCAGGCTCCTCCATCCATGGGATTTTCCAGGCAAGATTACTGGAGTAGGTTGCCATTTCTTTCTCCAGGGGATCTTCCCAACCCAGGGATAGAACCTGGGTATTCCACATTGCAGGCAGACTCTTTACCATCTGAGCCACAAGGGGGCTTCAGAAAGTAAAGACATAAAGTGAAGAACTAAAGAACCTCTTGATGAAAGTGAAAGAGGAGAGTGAAAAAGTGGCTTAAAACTCAACATTCAGAAAACTAAGATCATGGTATCTGGTCCCATTACTTCATGGCAAATAGGTGGGGAAACTGGAAACAGTGACAGACTTTATTTTTCTGGGCTCCAAAATCACTGCAGATGTTGACTGCAGCCATGAAATTAAAAGACACTTGCTCCTTGGAAGAAAAGTTATGACCAACCTAGACAGCTTATTAAAAAGCAGAAACATTACTTTGCCAACAAAGGTCCATCTAGTCAAAACTATGTTTTTTTCAGTAGTCATGTATGGATGCAAGACTTGGACTATAAAGAGAGCTGAGTGCTGAGGAATTGATGTTTTTGAACTGTGGTGTTGGAGAAGACACTTGAGAGTCCCTTGGACTGCAAGGAGATCCAACCAGTCCATCCTAAAGGAAATCATTCATGAATATTCATTTTAAGGACTGAAGCTGAGTCTGAAACTCCAATACTTTGACCACCTGATCTGAAGAACTGACTCATTTGAAAAGACCCTGATGCTGGGAATGATTGAAGATTGGAAGAGAAAGGGATGGCAGAGGATGAGATGGTTGGAAGGCAGCACTGACTCAATGGGCATGAGTTTGAGTAAACTCCAGGAGTTGGTGATGGACAGGGAGACCTGGTGTGCTGCAGTCCATGGGGTCCAAAAGAGCTGGACATGACTGAGCAACTGAACTGAACTGAATAGAAAGAAGATAAGAAATTTGCCAGATGTAAAATAGATTTCAATATTGTCAAGAAGCCGGTTCATTTGTATTAAGAAGATGAGAGAGATAAATGTTGAGAAACTACAAGCAAAGCTCAGAGTTTTAATTTTAGATTTTAGCAATGCATTTCTGGGAAGGCACTGGGGTTTCCCTGGTGAATCAGGTGGTGAAGAATATGCCTGCAATTCAGGAGCTGCTGCTGCTGCTGCTCAGTAACTTCAGTTATGTCCGACTCTGTGCGACCCCATAGACGGCAGCCCATTAGGCTCCTCTCTCCCTGGGATCCTCCAGGCAAGAACACTGGAGTGGGTTGCCATTTCCTTCTCCAATGCATGAAAGTGAAAAGGGAAAGTGAAGTCGCTCAGTCGTGTCCGACTCTTAGCGACCCCATGGACTGCAGCCTACCAGGCTCCTCCATCCATGAGATTTTCCAGGCAAGAGTACTGGAGTGGGGTGCCATTGACTTCTCCAGCAATTCAGGAGTTGCGGGTTCAATCCTAGGGTTGGGAAAATACCCTGGAGAAAGGAATGGCTATCTACTCCAGTATTCTTTCCTGTATAATTCCATGAACACAAGAGTCTTGTGGGCTATAGTCCATGGTGTCACAAAGAGAGGGACATGACTGAGAGACTAACACTGAGATGTTCACTTTTTCAAGGTCTTGGGTGTTCTCGCAATAGTTAGCCAAACATAAGTGTAAATAAAGAGTGTCTAGTTGTCAAGAACAAAATCTCAGAGACTGGCTGTGACATGGTCATTTGTAAGGTTGTTAAGTCATTAATGTACAATAATAGAGCTTAAACTTGAAAAAATAATTCTAAGTCCA